ACGCCCCCCCCCCTCCCCTCGGAAAAAAATCGGGGAGAGAGTGAGTCTCATAGAGACTTTTGTTCCTGGCCCATCGTAGTTTGATCAAAAATAAAACACAAACTGCGGTGATAAACATTGCGAGTTTTCGCATTTTTATAAACTTCAGTGCCGGATAAGACTTTAAGATAAGGGGGAAGCCCGGTCATCCAGACCCTTAGATAAGGGAGGGGGGCGGGGGCGGTCTCCCAAAAAATTCTTTTTGGCCCTTTGGGTCTCAGTTTGGTCTAAAAATAAGGGGGGGCCCTCCCCTGGATCCACCACTGGACTTGATGATTAGTATGCCATTCAACATATAATTTCAAAAGTGATCTAAAGTGACCGTTGAAGACAATGCCGAGACTATATATACAAAATATTTTACAAGGGGCACTGGAAATAAGATTAAGAATTAAAAATTCTTAACAGTAATGAATACAAAAGCAAAACAGCTAAGAAAGCATCAACTTTTCACTGCTGATGTTGACATTAAAAGCTGGCTTAAGGTTTTGTATAAACAATGTTGGCTTTATCTTACAATGATAATCTGTTTTGCCAGATGCTGAAATTTCCAAATGATCCCACTTAATTTTATGTGAAATGGTACCCGCCATGCAGGGTGGCAGTGACATGGTCAGCAATAGCTGAGGATTGATCATGTTTTGGTCGATTTGGTTAAGTGTTGTGTTGTGTCTTTTGTCTGTCATTCGTAAACAATGGCTAATTAAAACAGTGTAACTACTCTGTCGTCCAATCAGCGCTTGTGACCGGATTTTAATTCCGGACAGATTTTACGTCATCAGTATGGAATTTCTGTCGCTGAGCGCTGACGTTCCTCCTCTCGAAACGTCTCCAGCGGTCTGGAGCGAGGAGAAACGGCTGTTTTCGCAGGCTATGAGCGGAGCCATGTTTTCAATTGAAGCGCTGAAAAGGACCTTCCTCCTGCTGCGCCTGACTGCACATAACCTCTCCCTTGGAATCTGTTTTTGACTCGCACCAGCTCTTTGTCAGTTCAACGTCCAAATCGTTCGCACTGCTAAATACGCCTTCTTTGCAGCCTATTTTTCTTCTCGCTTTTTAATTTACGGGTGTCTGTAAAACCAACCAGGAACAGGCCCGGAACAAGCCGAAACACCTCTCTGACGGGCCGGACCCCCCGGAACACCTTAATTACAAAAATTGGGCAAACAAATTACAAAAAGAAACCCTACAAAATTATCAATGAATCAAAAAATATCTTTGATCTGTAACTGAAAAAAGGAGATTGACTTCTGAAGATTTTAAGAAAGTAGTCCGTTGCTTTTATACGAATACTTACCAGCCTTTTTGTCTGAAATATAGCTGAAAGAGCCGCTACTTAAGTCAAGAAAAAAAGGAAAACAAAAAGAAAAATAAAATATCTTCTAAATAAATATCTGGCCAATTTGAAATCTACCGTGTTCGAGGAGTATAAATTATAAAATTCACTTGTCTTGCTTTCTTTTACTCTGATATTTTGTCTTTGATTTAAAAAAATATATATCCTAGGTCTTAGAGTTTCATTTTGATTTTCCAGCTGTTTGTTTCTTTTTCTTTCGAGCGGTAGATTATACGTATTGCATCCCGGATCATTCTTTGTTCTGTAAGTGTTTCTTGGAAGGGGGCACACCCTTATTTGGCCTTGACGGTAAATTGCCCCTGAGCAGGGCATGGTTTTCATTTCCATGGTTTTCAGGGCTTAAACCGGAATCCTTCACAAGAATGTGAAGGTTGGATATAAGCTGTCAACATTTGTGGTACCTACAACTTTTTTCACCAAAAAATCCAATTCCACGATGCTAATTTGTAAAATTAGTTCGTTCTGTGTACGAAACGAACCGAATCATACAGGGTCCAAATATATGGCATCACTTTTCTTCTCACGGGGTTTTTAAAAGGCTTAGGCGGCTCAAAGGTGTGTTCGGAGCATTTGAATGATTGGCAATATCTCTCGCTAGGAGACCTAGAACAAAATAAATTTTTTCCCAAAGGTAAATCTTGAGGTTTTTTTGTGCCTTAACGTTAAATTATGGCCACGTGACATGTCAAGTGACCAAAATTGAAAATGAAGGAAATTGGTGAATTGGTGGCTAATTTACTTTATTTAGATAAACAAATTGGCATTTCTGAAAGAGGATAAACATACCTAACTTTCTACGTTTGAAATGAATGTACGCGAAGTTTAAAATTAAAGTTTTGAATAATTCAAGATTAAATTTGGGAATTTAAAATGGTGTTTTCCTTCATAATTTTTTATTGAAGTGCATGGACGGTCACTCAACTATATTTAAGAGAAAAAGGCTGGTAAGTATTCGTATGAAAGCAGCGGACTACTTTCTTAAAATCTTCAGAAGTCGTTAAGTGGCGTGGATTCATTAATCTGCCCTAATATCCGTTTTCCAGTTACAGATGAAGGATATTTATTGATTCCTTGATAATTTTTCAGGTTTTTTTTGGTTTTGTAATTTTTTTTTGTAATTAAGGTGTTCCGGGAGGTCCGACCCGTCAGGGGGGTGTTCTTGGGTGTCTTGAGGGTGTTCCGGGGTGTTCCGGACCTGCTCCTGGTTCTACAGACACCCTTAATTTACTGTGACATACTGCCCTATAAGAATTTGCATAATTACAGGAAAAAAAAGAGTCTTTATAATTTTAACCGGAAATCGACTCCTCTAGTCATAGCACTCTCCTCTGACCAGGAAATTTATTGACTTATGTCTCCATTTAACCTGTTTATTTATTTGATTATTATTGTTTTTATTCCTTTTTTTTCAAATCAATAGGCTCTTAGCATGACTTGATCATGTGATCAACTTTCGGTAAATACGAAAACAGTTCACTTTTGAAAAATCTAAATTTTCAGCCGTACATCTCAAAAGTAGCGATCGCAAAGGCCGCCGAAAGTTGGAAGCATTTGTATGAGAAAAACAACTTTTGCCATCCAGTCACGCTTGCATGGCTCTCCATACAAATCCTTGTAATTTCGAAATTTTCAAAAACTGTCATGAAATATTTCCTTAAGCATTACAGGCTTTCAAATCTCCTTTGAATTCATAACAGACAATTTGAGCCGTTAAATGTGTAAGAAAAAGATCACTCGACATGCAGTTTAAAAATTTTAGAATTTACACGAATTTGTATGGAAAACCATAAAGCGTGACTGGGTGGCAAAAGTTGTTTTTCTCTTACAAATCCTTCTAACTTTCGACGGGTGTTGCAATCGCTACTTTGGAGATATAGGGCTGAAAATCAGTCTCATGTTACCTAATTTTAATATGCTCTTTCAGCTTGTGCTAACAACATTTTTCAAAAGCGAACTGTTTTCGTGTTTTACCGAAAGTTGGTCACGTGATCAAGTCATGCAAAGAGCCTATTACTTGGATCCCATATTCCGTTTATTCCGTTTCCCTTTGCCATTTTACAGTTCTACCACGCGAAACCGGTTTCAACAGGTTTCAACCGCCATGTACGTACATGTAACGTACATGTGACTTCAAGCTCGATAGTGTGCCGAACAAACCCTTCATGCTACACGCCTGTACATATTAGTAGGCTGGAACAGTAGTTTATGCTCTGTAATCCCTTAATGTCAGAAGAGAAGCTGTGAAGGACATTGAGGTCGACAGGTGATCATGGCGTTTGCAAGTAAGTAATCGTATTACAGAGTGGAAATTACATGGCCGCGCAGAGATACGAAATTTCTCTAAGTTCGAGTGAGCTCTTCACGGATTACTCGTGAGTAAAACGAGTAAAATTTTGTCAACACGAGAAGAGAAATTTCGTATCTCTATGGCAAGCCGATTGTAGCGTTATTCAAAACCTGAATCCAATGAAATTCAATTTCAATTCAATATCAATTCAGTGAAGTTCAATTTCAATCTAATGAAATTCAATGTCACTTCAGTGAAAATAAATTCAGTTTATAATTAATTCTGAATTCAATGTCAGTTCATTCAATTCGATGTCAATTCAATGAAATGCAATGTCAACTCAAAGAAGTTCAATTGCAATTCATGTCAATTCAATGAAATTCAAATTCGATTCAATTTCAATTCAATGTCAATTCATTTTCAATATTCAACTTCAATTCAATGAATTTCAATGTCATTTCAATCAATTAAGTGCAAAGCGTCATGCCATATAGGGGAATCACGCTCTTCCAGCTCTTCTCGCCATTTGCAGGTAAAATGGAGAAGCAACTTGGAAGTCTTGCTGCTTTCCTGGGTGAATGCAGTAGAATAGTTTCCCAGGTCTTGGATAGTAGTGATTCAAGCTCAAATGGCAATGTGACACAGGTTTTACCAGCAAATAGCAGGAGAACAGCCAGCAATGTTTCAAGTGCAGTCGAACGAGCTCGATCTATACTTGAACATAGTAGAAACAGAGGGCTGTGTTCTCGCTTAAATCAAAGTGAACGACTCCCAGACATTCCAACCCTCCCAATTTGATTGAGGGTCTTCCTATTTGTCGTGTTGCCTCCCGCTCTTCCCATTGTTATCAGATCCTCCCGAGTTATCCTGAAATTCTAAAAACAAGGAAAAAAATGGCTAATCTTTAGTAAAATTTTGGGATCTGGGGGTAAAACATTTCATGTTACATTTTGATGAGAATAAAGACCTTGTAGAATAACTCAGAAATGATGCTAAAATGCAGAAAAAGGCACTTGAGAGAAACTAAATTTGAAAAATTTCCTGGGGGCATGCCCCCAAGACCCCCAGGGCTAGAGGCTTGTGCTTTCGGCGCTTGCATCAGCTCTTTTGAGGCTAACAAAAACTCCCCTTTTTTTTCCTCAGAAGGGGTTGGAATGCCTGGACTCTGAGCATCCTCCTCTTCTCCAAGTCTTGGTAGTAACCGAGGAAATTGATAAAGCAAAAGAACCTCGCAATCAAAACCATTTGAGATTCGCTCTCCTCTACAAAGCAAGAACATAGCCCTCTGTGTCTACTACGTTGAAGCATAGATCAAGCTCATTCTCGAGACTGCACTTGAAACATTGCTGGCTGTTCTCCTGCTATTTGCTGGTAAACCCGTGTCATGTTGCCATTTGAACTTGAATCACTACTATCCAAGACCTGGGAAACTATTCTAGAGCATTCACCTAAGAAAGCGGCAAGACTTCGAAGCTGCTTCTCCATTTTACCTGCAAATGGCGAGAAGAGCTGGAAGAGCGTGATTTCCGTATGTAAGATCTACGATGCTTTGTAAGAACCTTGATGCTTTGCAGTTTATTGATTGAGACGACATTGAAATTCATTGAACTGACATTGAATTTCTCTGCAAATGGCGAGAAGAGCTGGAAGAGCGTGATTTCCGTATGTAAGATCTACGATGCTTTGTAAGAACCTTGATGCTTTGCAGTTAATTGATTGAGACGACATTGAAATTCATTGAACTGACATTGAATTTCATTGAATTGAAATTGAACTTCATTGAATTGACATTGAATTTGTCTTATCTTTTATATATCATGTTATTCAATATTTATTATATTTTTATGTTGTGTCCCCAATTAGTGTCAGCTAAATACATCGTCACATGAATAAAGTTCATCATCATCATCATCATCATCATCATCATCATCATCATCATCATTCAATTGACCTGGAATTTCATTGTCAAATTGAAATTGAATTGATACTGAATTCCATTGAATTAAAATTGAACTTTATTGATTATTAAGTTCGCGATTCCAATCTACTTTTTCAAAAACAAAGAAAAGAGGGACTTTACTCTCTATCTGGGCTAATGCAGATGTCAAGAGTTAAAAAATAGACATGGACAGACATACATGTAAACATACTTTATCTGTGAACGCTGGTTGGAGTAGGCAGCCAGAGGCTGATGGGGACCTGCCTCCTAACAATAAAAAAGTTGTCAAAAAAAAATCGTTGTCATATCCGCACTTGATCCTCGCAGAAACCCAAGATGCGAAAATTGTTCCATCCAACAAAATCCTTTTACGAGTCTTCCGCCTAGACTGAAGCTTCGCTGAGTTTTTGGCGAAGATTTTCTTGTGGCCACTTCCTGACCTGCAGCCGCTATGAGAGGACATTTTGTTACCTTCAAATAGTTGACCTCAAATAAGCCTTTGATCAGAGTACAGACTGTAATTGAAACAACATCACAGTGGAACCTTCTAAAAGGACTGTACAATAGTAATGGAAGTATAACTCTGCAAACTGTTAATGGATGGCTGAGATAAATAACAATAAACTCTTGATATTGAATCACCTGCAGAACTTGAAAAAGTTGGTGAACGTTTTCAAGATGTAACGCTTCGTCGCGCACATGCGCAGTGTGTGACATAGCCCCTTTAATGTAACTTAGAAGATCTTGAAGCAAGCCGAGCCTTTTGATCCCACTTCAAATCGCTGTAATTTGTGCCTGTGGGAAAAAAATTTTATCATTTGCAGACTCTATCTGGTGAGCTTGTAACTTCCTGCAGGCATGCGCTCAAATTCTTCTTAGCAGCTTTACATCTTCTGTTGTCACGCAATAGTTTATGATGCAAATTCTGTGTACGCATTTGTTGTCTTCGCGTATGTTGTGATGAACTCTTTATTGGCATTTTTTTTATCAAAACTAAGTAGTAAAAGTAAAAGTATACAGAGAACTGTCAAACATAGCAAGGGACAGGGAAGCCCTTCAATTTGATGTCGATCAGTTACTTATCCTGGGCATCTAAATGGCAACTACTCTTTAATCCTGATAAATGTGAAGTTTTACGTAATCGCAGAAACGAGACTTCTCCCTCCCTGCATACTCATTGAGTACGAGCCTTAAAAGTGTAAAGTGCATAAAGGATTTGGGCATTATGGTTTCTTTGGATTTATCCTGGAGTGAACATGTTAACATGACTGTTAATAAAGCCAACAAATTATTGGGTTTGGTTCACAGAACAGTGGGCTCGTTGAATCCCGACCACGCGTTCTCTACGTTATACAAATCTGTCGTATACCCGGTTCTTGAACATGGTGCTCCGGCCTGGATCCCATATTTGGTTGAAGATGTGCTAGCATTAGAAAGAGTTCAGCAAAGAGCCAGTCTCGACTTGCTCTCAGGCAAAAACGTGATGAGATGGAATTATTACGAAGATCGTTCTATCTACAATCCCGTCTATTCCAGATAGTACTGTTACAGGTGCATTGAAGCCTTTTTTCTGTCCCATAAACCTAGATTGAACTTAGCAATAATTTAGAGTTTGTTTATTTTTTTAATAAAAATTTAGAAGGAAACAATTTAATGATGGCTATTGTGGAATAATTATGTCAAAGCCAGCTACACATACTTGGGTGTCTTGAAAATAAAGAGCCCAAAGACTCCCAAAACTTGAAAACAAAGACCCCCCACTCTTTTTTACATATTTTTTTTATGCGAGGGGGAGGGGAGGCCTCTCTTGTACAATAATCGGAAAATTTTAAATTAAAAGTTTAAGTCTTCTGTACTCAGGCGCTCTCTTTTGTTTTTGTCACTTCCCTGCAAAATTGTCTTTTTGGGATGGCGGAGTTTGTTGTTATCGAGGGGGGTGGGGATGTGGGGTGGGTGGGGGATAGGAAATTGAAAATAGACTTAAATATTGAGTAATACTACATCATGTGCGTGGAAATTGTCGAACCACGTTCAGATTTTTTTCAGGCCTTCCTTTTTCTTCCCCTTTCCCCTCAGAAAAGCCTGATACTCAAGCTAAATCTAAACTAGCTATCCAATCCATTTACAGTATGTGAAATAAACACCTCATAAATTGTTGCTAGCTTTAATCCAGCTGAGTTGAAGGATGCAAGAGTAACACCTATTTTTTAAATCAAGAGCAAGGATCGATGTGAATAATTACTGACCAATCTCAGTTCTTCCGCTGGTGTCAAAGATTATGGAGCGAGCTATATTCAAGTACAATTCTTGGCTTTTTTAAGAGAACTCGACTTATTGTCAGACTACCAATCAGGTTTTCGAAAGAACACGGTTCGCATGGGCCTTGAAAAGTCCTTGAAAAAGCATCACTCCCTTGAAAAGTCCTTCATTAAAAAAGTGTTTTGCACAAGGGAAACATTTGAAAGCACAGCAATATGTAAATTTTCTTAGTGATCGTGAAAGTGTGTTTTCATATAATTTTGGTGTTCCTGCCATAGTTCATGTGGCGTTAATCGAAATACCCATGTAGGAACCATACCTTTTTGGTCCTCGAAAAGTCCTTGAAAAGTACTTGATTTTTTTCCCCCAAATTCTGTATGAACCATGAAGAAGCATTCTACTGAAACTGCAGCAGTTTACCTCACTGATAATTTATATTTTGGAAAATATGGATAGGCAAATGATTACAGGAGCTGTGTTTATTAACTTGAAAAAAGCTTTTGACTTGGTCGACCGTGAATGTCTGCTTTTTAAGCTAGAACACTACGGAGGTATCTCAGTTGATATATCGTGTTGGTAGATATATCAACCAAAAGATATCGCTTGCATGTTGGCCGACAAATCAATCCGACAACGTCGATGTCAATTAAAATGTCTCTGAAAAATAGACTGCGCATCCTTTTAAGCTTTTTCGCGATTATCCTAATTTGCCATGTTAGTTCAAAAAAGGGAATCTTGTTTGGTGCTGAAGATAGGTGACCGCGCCTGATTTCAGACAGAGATGGTTGAATTTATTGCCTTGCCAATCCACACTTTATTTGAAAGCCATTAGATCATTATTCTTGGCCAAAACAAACTCCACCGATTTAGTCTGTACACAGAGGCTGCAATTTATACAAAGAAGCCTCTGAGAAGCTGGGGGTAGAACAGGTATATCTGTGCTGCTCAGCAAACATTACTAACCCAGGGCCGATATATCGACTAAGATATCGGTAGTGTGTCAGGTGACATATCAACCGATATATTGGTCAAGTGTCGGCCAATTTATGTCAAGTGATGTATCGACTGAGGGGTGCACAAATTACACAAGATCTGGTTTTAGTAAGGTTTAATAGTCATTTAAGGCTGTTCTGGGCCCAACTAAGTATGTTTTCCAGTTCTTGGGGAGTTTGATCTTATGCCCTGCATTCCTGCATCCTGCATTCTATATGAACTAATGTGACTATTCATTATTTGTTTTAACAGTGGAGAAACTTATTCAGGATATGGATAGCGGTGACAGATACAAGCACCTTATCCACCTGGTACAAATTATGGAAAGTGAGAAGGTTATAAATTACAGGGAAATAACCTGTGGGCTGTTAAATAAGTTTGAAGAAAGTCGCGGTGTAAAGTTTACCGAAGAGGAGATAGGATGTCTGTGGCAACATATAATCGCAGGGCAACAACAGGAAGGTAACTCATCCCTTTTAGTTTTTATCTTCAATAATTTAGTGTGGCTAAAATAGCATCCTTGTAAAGGGTTGGCTGGTAGGACCCCATCTACAGGTGTATTGTAGATTGTCATCTTGTGACAGAATTTTTCAATGACCAGGTGTTTACACATTCTTAGCTGTAAGTTTACCTCTTTGTAAAAATACAGTATATATAACCAAATTTCTACAACTGTGTTAGATCACTATGTAAAGTCATGTAACTTGTGTCAGTTTGAAAGGTTAATTGAGTCGGCTCAACCATAGATTCTGGATTCTGGATTCTGGTGGGCACCTTTGATGATTAATCAGTGTAAATTATTTGTTATTATTATTATTTTCAGTATTATAATTATTGTTATTACACATTCATTGGGTCAATTCCACATGAGAAAAGAAAAAATGACCAGTTTTGAAATAAACTACTGGGGATTTTAAGTGCATAGCCAAACTGCATAAGGACTGAAGTTTCAAAAATCATCAGGGCGTAAATGCAGATCCACCATTCGATACTGAGGGGGGTACCCAAATTAAGCGACTACTAAAAGACTCATATTCCGGTAATAATGAATGCAATAATCTTTTAACCATAATTCAAACAACTGAGTTCAATGAAGATCAAAATTAATGTAATATGAAATGTTTAGTTCAACCATAGCTTTCCATTAAAAACCACAACTAACATTACCGCTCGGCTTATAGTCGAATAAATACGGTAACTTCCATTTTTTCAGAGAAACCAGTAACTGCCAAAAATTGACATGGACATTACGTAACATCCGTAATAATTCTGTGTACATTCTTGTGTAATGATTGTTTTCTTGTGTTTTTTTTTAGGCTCCAAAAAACCAGTAGAAAACTCAAATGAGGATGTGAAGAGTAAAATGGAGGTATGCTACTGGTACTGGGGGGGGGGGGTACTCCTTACGATGACCAATACAGGGAAGCTCCGCCCAAAAGGGGTACCTTTTTTTTCAGGCTTCAGGCATATGAAAGGGGAGGGATATCACTAGTTGAAGTATACAAAAGGGTAGGGAAATCTGAATTTTATGGCTCAAAAAAGTCAAGAAAAGTAGATATATTTTGTTGATTGATTCCGATTTAAAAGACAATGCATTTATAGCAGTTTAAATAGACACAAAGTTCTAAACAAGTGAAAGGGGTACCATTTGTCAATAGAGGGTGTATGAAAGGGGTTTGACTTTGGGGCAGAGCCTAAAAAGCACAAAATTCTAAAAAAGGGAAAGGGGTAACATGTGTCAATAGGGGGTGTATGAAAGGGGTTTGGCTTTGGGGCAAAGCCTCCCTGTAAAAATATTTGTTGGGTACCCCCTGCCCCCCCCCCCCCTCCAATAAAATAATTTAAAATAATTGCTTGCTTTTTGGGCAAGCTGTTGCTGAAGTTTGTCACCCCGAAGCAGTCTTGCAGGCTTGCCAACCCCCTATTTCAACAACCTTTATTTTGTCTCACTTAATGTTGCTTGGTGACAATAAATTAACTAGTAATTAAAACGTGCTAGCCCAAAGGGTCACTCCACTAGCCCAGGCTTTTGGACAGCACTTTTGTTTTCCCTCATCATGTTTTTTCTCACCCCATCATGTCTTTTCCCACAGTTTTCAAGTCATTGTAAAAACAATTCAGGGGCAAATCTTGCCAGAATTGAAGCAAAACTTTGTGTGGCTGAGTGTAAGGCTTATTCCTTGTGAGCAGGGGCCTCATTGAAAGGCCCTTGCTAGCCAGGAATGAGCCTTTCTTGTCAGCTGGCAGTAGTATCACCTTTAATTATAATACTGGATGTACATGTGTTCTCTTTTTCTTTGCCCACTGAACCGCATAGTATTTTCTATTTGCATCTGTAAACCCCTGCTACTCCCCCAACTGAAAATACTACTCCTTTCCATATTGTCCTTATTTGTTTTCACTAGAAGCTTTCCTTTTTACACGTGATTGAGCGTCTTAGGTATTATTTGTATACAATGGATGCTATTAATTTTGTTAGAACAAAGGTCATGGTGGGATCCAGTCCGCACAACCACAAGAGGATCATAATATTCTCCTAACAGTGGCAAATGAGGCAGAGTTGATCAGACGCAAGTTGTTAGAAACGATGCCACCTGAAGAAATATGGGAGGAGACAAAAAGCCCAGTCAAGCTTACCACTGGGTCAATGTTGGGCGAAGGCAGATTCGGTAAAGTCTTTCAAGGAACAGCCCAGGTGGCCATGAAGTTCCCAAAAGAAAGGGGTCGATCAGATTTTATAAATGAAGTAAGATTTTTAAGTTGTTTGAAGCATCCAAACATTGTAGCCTCTCTAGGCACTTATTCTTGGACGCTTCTCATGGAGATGATGGATGAGAACCTCCATCATCATATAAAACGAAAAGGTGGCAGCCTAAGTATTGACTCCATAATGGACTTTGGATTAGATGTTGCAAAGGGCCTGGAGTATTTGCAGCAAATTGGCATTATTCACCTCGACATCAAATCTAGAAACATCTTAATCAATAATAATCCAGAAGTCGCCAAATTAAGCGACTTTGGATTGGCAAAAGTGTTAACACAACTAAACGTGACATCTGAAGTTCTCCATTATGATGGTCAGTTGTTTGACATGGATCCTATCTACCCTCAGTCGTTTAAGGTGAGCAAGAGCAGTCTTTTTGTTCATTGCTAATTTAAGTTTTTGCTTAGTGGTTTTGTCATAGGTTTACTTGAATTATATTTGCTTGCTTTCACACTTGATTGAAGTTGTAGTTAGGTATTAGAGGTAGCTTATGACCAACTTCCCAACAGACATTGAGGGATGCAAACGACTTCGTAAACGCTAAAAGCAATGCAAGAGAAAAACCTGACTGCTCTTAGGGTAGAGGAGAGCAAAAGTAAATAAACAAAACTAAACTTAATCACCATACAATTTACTTCCTCTCCTCACAATCAATATTTTCACTTAATGTTCATGTTTAATGCTGGTGGTAAAGAGCTTTATGGTCTTTTAGGTCAAGGATGCCGTTGTAACTTTAGCCTGGGACCCAGCTCCACAGTGGGGAAAGGGAAAAAGAATTTGTTGTTTCACCCCCTTTTTTCCTTTTTCCTCACTGTGGAGCCTGGTCCCAGACTATTATAAAAACATTTTAACTGTTCCTTTCTGTTTTACAGTTTTTTGTTAAGTAAAGTAAAGTAAAACTTAATATCCATAGGGTAGCCCAATCAGCTTTAAGGCTAGTCTCCATGTATTTACCCTTCTACTACTTATTTCAGACGGATATCTGGAACTTTGGATGGGTTCTCTTTGAAATGGCGGTATGTCGCCCTCCTGATTTTGTCAAATTGTCTCATCTGGTTAAGCAATCGAATGGAAGATTCCCAGACCTTGATGAGCTGGGGACAAATTACACCCGCGGGGTCGTTCCAGGCGGTCGCCGTAAAACATTCTTAAAGTATCCAGACCTGAACGAGCTGGTTACTAAGTGCATCGGGATCGTCCCAGGCAGTCGCCCTGAAATATCCCAAGTAATAAGCATCTTGAAGGAATATTTTAAAATGTCTCCATAAAAGTAAGTCCTCCAGTTTGTTATTGTCATAGTCTTTATTGCATTTCAAAGGACAAGAGCAAAATAATAAACTGGGCATGTAAGTAAAATGGCAAGGCCCAGGGACCAGGAACCCGGGGGGGGGGGGGGGAATGTGTGTGTATGTGGGGGGGGGTTGTTTGGGGGGGGGGGGAGAAGGGATTTTTTAAATTTTTTTTTTAAAAGGGGGGTGAATGGGGGCAAAATTTTCAGCGAGGAAAAATCTCCTAAAACCAAATATTACCGGAGTTTAAAAAAAAAAAATTTTTAATAATAAAAAAAAAAAGGATTTAAAAAAAAACAAAAGAGAAA